AGCAAAGAACCTTATTCTCTCCATTACTGATCACTGCTCTGAGTCTCAATTTGTGATAGGAAAAGGCCAAATTAATAAGGTCTTGTCTCCCTCATGGCTGATTCGTGGGCCCCACACATGGAAATTAACGTATACATACAAATCCTATATATATATACACACACATTCAAGACTGGCCAGTTTAGGATATTTATGTAATTTCGCTACTGCATGCAGCTTTGCTTTTAACGAGTGACTCAATGTCAAGTCATTGCTTTATGTCTTTCTGATTTTTTTTAGGGCTTTTCCCATTCGTACAGAAGAAGAAAACAACAGAAATTGGCCAGAATAGAGTAAAATAGTGGGCCCCACAGTATATTTAAATATTGCAAAAAATGGCGGGCCCCACCTACTTGTGTGTGGTCTGGTGTGTTTCTGTACACCCAGCAGAAATCTTTTTTTAGAACTATTCCTAGGCTGAAAGAATTTGTATATATTAATTACTGGAAAGAACTAATTGTTGCCTGAAATAGAATTTAAATTAGGAAAAATTGCAGTCATGATATCAAACATTTCAATTAGTAACATATTATGTCCAAACCTTTTATTTTGACGCCGTAGGTACCAAACTTTTAAAAAAAAATTGCAGCTCAAGTCCAAAATGACGATTTTCGTCAGTTTGACCATAGAAATTAGAAACTGTCAGTTGACCTCAGAAATTAAAAATTTAATAATTTCTCCCAAATAAGGTAAGAATTTTTTAGACATAATACATTTCTTCTATTAAATAAAAATAAAAAATCACAACCTTTTTCCATCTCTTTTTTCCCCAACCTCCTTACTATCCAAAACCAAAATTACTCCAACCAGTTGCTGGCCGCCACACCATCGACATCGCCATCGCTGCCACCAACGCCGGTACCAACAAAATTTATAGGTTAGGTGACCTCTACCAAATCTTCATCTCCAATCCATCTAATGGTCGCCCTCCTCAACCGAAACAATAGTGGCAGCTCGAAATTAGAAGTGCATTTTTTTTTTTTATGAAATTGGCCAACAGCATTGGCACAGTATGTGCTTTAGATGATTCAAAATTCAATTGTGGTGGTGCCATGTGGTGGGTCCCGCTCGAAGTGGCCAAATTGTGGATCTTGGAATTTGCACCTATCGCAAGTTTGGTGCTCAAATTTGATGGAATTTCTTCAACAATTGGATCAATTGGTTCCCTACCCGTTGTCGATTGGCCTTGAATTAGATTTTGGATGTTCGAATTTGGTGAGGGGGTTGGAGAAGAAGGAGATAGTGGTGAGTTATGATTTTGTTTTTTGTTTTCTTAATTTTTGATTTAATATAAGAAATTTATTATATTCAAAATGCCCTTAGCTTATTTGGGATGAATTATTAAATTTTTAATTTCTAGGGTCAATTGACTATTTCTAAGGTCTAAAAGACGGAAGCCTTCATTTTAAAATTGAGCTGCATTTTTTTAAATGTTTGGTACTTACAGTGACACA